TCAGAGTATTTGGCTGCTATAAATGTCTACGTTATAAGCCACTTCGTTGAGCTATCATTTGCGTGGCCACGTGGCTTCTGAAAAAAAGCTATACAGCTCAGTGGGCCTTACCTGGTAAAATAAAATAAAATCGTTTTAATAGGAACCTGCTAGGCGGCTACAGCTGATGTACTATCTGGTGCGGAGGACTTGTAGACTTATCGTCCGAGTGCAGTCATTGGGTCATGGTCCTGTCATTGAAAGCTGAGTGGACCTTAGGAGAGGCACTGGCCAGCACTTGCTGGCTTGCTTGCATCGTGAAGGGCTGGAGCTGGGAGCTTGCGTTCACGCGGGGAGCACAGAAGACCCGCTGCTACGATACAACAGGGAGGCACCGTATCCAAGCTCAAACCCTGCTTAGCTTCCGAGGTCTGACCAAATCAGGTGCATCCTGAGTGATTTGGGCATCGGCGTGTCATACGTCTAGCGATAATATAATGGTTATTATTTCAATTGCACGTACGCGCGCGTGTTTGTAATATAGTTTTTATTTTATTTAGCCGCGCGTGTGTTTTTTTTGCCGGCGGGAAGGAATAGGGTGGTGGCGACTACGTCCGTTAAGGTTTTATCAGCGGCTCTGCAAACTCCGGAGAGCTCTTCCTTTCCCAACCTCGCAAAAAAACACCACGGGGAAGGGGGGGGGGGTGATGGGGGGTGCTGTCAGTGGTGGGAGGAGGTGGGGTGGGGGGTGAGAAAGTCCTTACAACCACGCCGTGCTACGCATTACAGAGCGTACGTACAAACAGTGCGATGTTTGAATCGCACTTGCGCTATGAACTCGGCCTGCGGTCGGTACCGCATCGCTCCGCATGCTGTGCCACATCGCCGCTCAGCCGCGCGGCTCAAGAAAGTAGTCCGTCGTCTAGATTTGAAGCTTTCGTGACTGCAAGGATTCATACTCTTAGTTCTTTCGGTAAAGTCACGTAGGTAAAAAATGAAATAAAAATTAATAAAAATAAAACAATAAAATCACGACGTTTCGGAGGCATCATATCTTGATGCAGCAAATCTGGCTGTGACGGTCCCACCTGATGACGGAGACTTGTGTTGCCTCCGAAACGTCGTGATTTAATTGTTTTATTTTTATTAATTTTTATTTCATTTTTTACCTACGTGACTTTACCGAAAGAACTAAGAGTATATAGTCCGTCGTCGACCCGCTCAGAATCCGCGTTATAGCAACGGTGCTCGTACCGCGTTATAGTGGTGCGCGTTCCGTGTCGAGCGAAAAGTGTTCCTTGTTAGAAGAAGAACCACGTTGGAGCGTGGACACCGCACGTGAAGCGACACCGTATTTTTGGGTCGCACCGCTCGCTACGGTCTGCCCGGCTCGATGTCCGATGTTTCGCCCCCAGGCGCTGGGAGCTTATTCAGCAGCCCAGTTACGTGCAGCAGGGTATGGGATCTGGCAGGGGGAAGGGACAGATGCCGAGATCCGGTGGCATCAATGGCATTGGTCGGAGTAACCCCTTGACCTTGATTGAGGTCAAAGATTTTGCATTGAGAGGTCGGCAGAGAAGAGAGCGAGAGAGGAGGTCTGACGTCGTATTTTTTGTATTCTTAGGTTTTTTCGGTAAAGTCACGTAGGTAAAAAATTAGAATTAATAAAAGTAAACGTCGTGATTTTTATTTTATTTTTATTTTATTTTTATTAATTTAAATTTTTTACCTACGTGACTTTACCGAAAAAACCTAAGAATATGAATCCTTGCAGTCACGAAAGCTTCAAAAAGTCGTATTTTTTGTTTGGACGTGAACTGCAACGCTCGGTCTCTGAACCTGCCACGAGCCTCCACTAGGTCGACTCAGTCTGAAATTGGTGTCAACTGGGAGCTTCTTGTCGGCCGTCTGTCCATCCGTCAAAATGAGCATGGCCCTTCCTCCCTGCCTACCTGCCTCCTCCCCCTCCTCTCTCTCCCTGCCTCCCTCCCTCCCCCTCCTCTTCCTCCCTACCTCCCTCCCTCCTTCCCCTCCTCTCCCTCCCTGCGTCCCTCCCTCCTTCCCCTCCCTTCTCTGCCTCCCTCCCGCTGCGCTCAGCCACAAGGGATGAGAACGTTCGATGGGCGCTGGGGTCGTGGATCGTAGCTGCTTGCGAGCGGAGAGAATGTCTACGATAAATCGAAAGCAAAACGCCGCGAATAATTCGGGGGAGCTTTAAACGAGGGGAGGATGCAACGGTGCCGGGTTCAACAACAACAACAACAGCAGCAGCTGTGCAACGTCTACTCGGAGGTCAGAGGTCAAGAGTTAGAGTCCCAATCTCGGCCACTGACTGTGATCAAACCGAGGTTTGCCCACGCGGAGCGATCGTTGGATGATGGCCTCAGGCCAGGCACCAACGAACGACTGGACCGCGCGCACGCGCACACATACGTGAAAGGAACAAACAAAAAAACCCCATCGCGGTCATTAAAATTCTGAGTTCCGCTCGGAGAATTGAAATTGATTCAACATCGATTTACGTTTGCAATGTTTTGATGCTTTTGATTTCCTCGTGGAAGCGAACTGTTATATGTGTGCTGCCCCATGCGCTGTGCGCGTGTGTGGGATCTTAGTGGTAGCTCTGGGATATCCGCTTTTTTCTGAGAGCTTGAACTCGGGGAAGATTTGCATTCCGTGGTCAGCAGGGAGAGAGGGTGAGAAAATTATCTGGCTGTTGCCTGATGATGTTGATTGTAATTACAGGCGAAGCGTCGTGCTCGATTTGTGATTAATGTGGGTTTGCGCTCCCAACACACCGGTGCGCTGTACTAGTAACGAATTGGCACGTTTTGTCTTCGTGACGAAACTTGCTTATTGGCTGCGTCGGGTGATGGCGGGTTTAACGACACATTTATATTTACGCGATCTAACCCGAAAGCCTCCATTATGGATAATATTGGTTGCGAAAGGCCGACTACTACTACTACGTGTTAAACTGATTTTTAGTTTGTTTAGACAACAACTTGCGCCCCCCATGTACTCAATCGGGTTTACACACAGCCAGCAATCGTAGCTCCGCTACCACGCAGACTTGGCAGGACCCTCCCGAAAAACAGTCCTGAGACTCGACGAGGCTTTCCCGGGTCAAAGGGGCATCACGGTGGCTAGGAGATGTTAACTCCCTTGCCTGGTATACAGGAGGTCGTGGGTTCGATCCCGACTGTGATGCCTGCTGCTGTATATTTGGAGATTGCGTGCCTCTCTCTCATCATCATCACGGTGGCTATGAGATGTTAACTCCCTCGCCTGGTATACAGGAGGTCGTGGGTTCGAACCCGACCCTGACGCCTGCTGCTGTATATTTGGAGTTTGCGTGCCTCTCTCTCATCATCATCACGGTGCCTAGGAGATGTTAACTACCTCGCCTGGTGTACAGGAGGTCGTGGGTTCAATCCCGACCATGACGCCTGCTGCTGTATATTTGGAGTTTGCGTGTCTCTCTCTCCCCGTGGTCGCGTGGATTTTCTCCTCGTCCTCCTGTGTTGCCCTCCACATTTGGAAACACGCGTTTAGAGTATTTGGCTGCTGTACATTTCCACGTGATGATGAGCCACTTTGTTGAGCTGTCATTTGTGGACAGGCCGCTTCTGAATAAGAGCTGTATATAGCTCAGTGTGGTCTTAGTCGGTAAAATATAAAAAAAAGTTACGTTTTTGTTTAGTTTCAAACGAGCGAAATCATCATCACAACAATAATTATAAAATCCCGCTTCAGTGCAGTGAGTTGATGCTCTGAGCCCTGTCACCACTGACTGCACACAACAGTGACGACAACAATCTGAGGGCGTCAAACGAGATTTGTTTTTATTTCATTTGGTCAAAATTTCAGCAGTGTTCGTAAAAAATAAAGAAAGCAAATATGATGATAGGTTTTTCCCCTTTTATCTGGCAACAAAACAGCTGTGTTAAGATGTTAAAACACCAAACTGTAACCTTTTACAAGGAATCATGTTTACAAGGCCAGAGGATGCCTAACACCGTTTGAGACGAGGCTCAAAAGAAAGCTCTCTCTGGTGTGGACCAATCAGTTTCAAAGACAATGCATAGATTATCAGAGTATGTTTTTTATTTGCATTCTGACCACAAGTATTGTGGTTAATGTAGACATGATTCCTTGTAAAAGGTTTCAGTTTGGTGTTTAAACATCTTAACACAACTGTTTTGTTGCCAGAAAAAATTAACCCGTAAAAACAAAGTTTTTCACTATAAATCCTTTATATGCGTAGCGGCTAGAGTCCTCTCGTCCTCTGGCTTGAGATGGCTGCCACCTATGGGTCAGATGATTGCCTGCCACCATAAAGCAATTGGTAATTAAGCATCTTTTTTTTTTCCCTAAAAAGTGTTAAATTTTGGGGAAAAAATTTCACGAGATTTCATTGTCACGCACAACGAGTCTGTGTGGAAAATGTCAGCTCGATTGGATCACGGGAAGTGGGTTAAAAAATGACCGAAAGATTTGCACAGTCGTAAGCGCGCAAGCAAGCAAGCAAGTGAACTTAATATAAAGGATTTAAAAAAAGGGGAAAAAGCTATCATCATATTTTGGGTACTGGCAAAGGAGGTCCCATGATGTAGATATCGGTCCATCTGCCCAGTGAGGAGCATTTCTCCGTAGCAGAGGTGCGCGTAGGAGTGTCACGAAGGGCCCCTCGTGTGGAGATAAGCTGTCACCTGAAGGAGCTTGGGGTGGGGGGTGGGCGACGTCTCAGAAGTAGTTCTCTGATATCTGCTTCCTCCACGTGGGGGGGGGGTTGGGGGTGGGCCCGTCGGTTTGTAACAAAACGGCGGGCGACTTGCCTGCCGTGTGGGAATTCTGGACGCGTCGTCGCCTCCGTGACGTGAGGACGAAGAGAACGACGACGGTCGCAACTTCTTGGAATGGAATCGAGGAAGAAGCCAAAAAATTAAGCCGGAGGATGATTGTTTATTTTTGTTTACTAATCGCGCTTTTCGTCATTTACCATCTGTGCTCCAATCCAGGTGTGTCCAAGGCGAGGAGGTGGCGAGGAGGTGACGAGGAGGTGACGAGAGATCATTGCGGACAGCTCAACATGTTCTCAGGTAAGCTTCACGGCACCCGGACTGCGCTGCGCGCGCGCGTTGTCACGGGACAAAGGCGCAGCCCTGCAATTGCTTGCTAGCGCCCCTGCCGGCGGAAGGAGCCTGCAGCAGAGAAGAAGAGAAGATGCACCAGAGAGCTGCCTGCGGTTGGACATTCTGGTCGACTCGCTCCCCCGTATAGCCTTGACAGACTGTCGGGGCAAGTGCTGTTAGCGAGTAGCACCTATAAAGTCCCGGCACGGCACCACGAGCGGGTGGGTGGCCAACACCACTCCCGGCCGCCTTTGTCTCCCTAGTGGTGATGTTTTACACATTGCACCGGGTACTCGTGTTGAGGTTGAGTCGACCTAGGGGAGGCCCTGGTCCGGTTCAGATAATCGTCACTGGTGTTGGCCGTGAGCGGGAATCGAACCCGGGTCCCCAGGTTCATAGCGCAGCGTAGCGCTAACCGCAACACTACCTCTCCCACACATACACACTGAGTGTTTACGTGACAAACCTTCCTAATTCCTTCCTAATCTCTTATTGTGGATGACATTGGTCAGGAAAGTCCACGTGTTAACCAAGAACAACAACCGCCATTCGCCACTAAGTGGCGGTGACGTCACCACGACGCTTGTGCCAGGCCATGTGCACCTTGAGGCCATGTGAAGTGTCGAACGCCCGCTGGCAGGAGGTCACGGGGCAGACCCAGCAGGTGCCACGGGTCGACTGACTGAGATGACCGAGATGACTGGCTGAGATGACTGTTAAACACACACACACACACGTGTGTGCCGAGGCCTGTCCTTCAGGGCCTGGGGACAACCAACATGGTCGTCGGAGTTGAGGGTTAAATCTACGTCACCATCAGGCATGGTCTATCTACTGCTGGATGAAAGTCTCCCCCCCTCAACCCCCGCCCCCCACTGAAGCCGCCCCGAGCTCTCACCATCCCAGCCGCGTAGCGATCCGCCCAGCATGCGCTGGGATTTATGATTTCCTCGTTCCGTCTCCGCGGCGGGCGGGCTCCACCTCGGGGCGCCGTTTCCGTTTCGTCGGCCGTGACGCGTCGCTGCCCAAGGATCACACTTGCATCTGCTCGACAGGCGATGGGGTGGTGCGATGACGAAATATTTGAACGCTTTTTAAAAAGCGCTCGGCACCCATCCGGCGTGAAGTGGAGATGCTCAAACACCACGTAGGGCGGCTCTGACGAGGCATTGCGTCTGCGTTCACCATGCGAGCAAGTGCGCTTTGATGGTGCACGCACTGTCCTTGGAACTGATTGACCTGCACCGGCGATAACCTTGCGGTGAGCACAATAAGGCGAATGGTGCAAGGACAATGCCAGGGTGATTAGCTCTCGTCAGGCAATTGTGTGCACGCGGTGCCGTAGGTGCGCGGCGATTGCTCTCGATTCGCTTTTGTCCTCTGATCCGCGCTGTTCTCCCTTTCTGTCCGTGACGACGCGATCCGCTCCGTCGTAAAACCGCCGCCGCCGTCGTGGCTTCTCGTGACGCTGGTGAAATTTTAAATGAAATGAAAAAAATAAAAAAACCTCTCGTTTCCCAGGGAGGCGCCCACTGCGTGGCGACGGCGAGTGGCGGTCACCTTTGGGCCCCTTTTGTCCAAACGGGGAGAAACTTGGGCTGGCTACTTAACCTGCGAAAGTTGAACAAAGGGCTCATTTGAAATGTAAGAGACCCGGGCAATTCCAGGAATGTCTTTTGTGCCTCGGCTGGGAAGGCCCCCTACAACATCTGTGGCGCAGGAGTTGCAGTCATGCTGAGCACGAATTTCAAAGGGCTCTTAATTGATTGGGGTTTAGGGAAAGCGTTTTTTTTTTGTCCATTCATTTATTCATTCGCTAATTCGCAACGAAGCATTTGGACTCCCCCCAACGCTTTCTCTCACCCCCCCCCCCTCCACCCCTTGCAGGGGTTCCGTTTCAGGTTTTGCAAGCGCTTCCTTCGTACGGCACCGCTGCGTCCGTACAGTGAGCCGAACTTTCCAGGTCGTGGTTCTGTGAAAGTGCAAGGGGCCCCGTCGCCTTCTTTCTTTCTTCCGTACGGCCGATGTAGACGCAGAGCAACAATCGTGGTACTAAGTCGAGATGGTGGAGCCGGCTGATTGCGTCGGGAGAAGTGGAGCAGTGCATCGCTGCGATGACGCCTCCTTTCGTATAGATCTCCGTGTGAGTCTGTGGGTCTCAGTCGGTCTCAGTGTGAAGCTACAGATATCTATCTTCGTATGGCAGACGTTGTTGGATTGTAACAACTGTAATAACTACATGGAGGTAGCGAGCTGGTTGCGTCCCGGAGAAGTGGAGCGGTGAATCGCCAGGATCGTGCCTCCTCCTCCGTATTTGTCAATGGGGGGGGGAGGGGGGGGGCATTGAGTCGTTCGCTGTACGTCCAGTGGTGTGTTCTGAGTCTTCTTGTGTCGCTCGGCTGATGTATACACAGAGCACCAACGACAATTTAACATCCCGGTGGATCAAGCCAGACAACCGCGTCATGAACGGCACAGCGAGTCACCGCCGCGGTGTCTCCTTCGCATTTGTGGGTCGGCTATCGGATAGTTGTACGTTGATCGGTCCGTTCTGGATGTCAACGGTCGCACGCTCCTGGAGAGTTTTAGATTTTCCATTTGTGCATCAGGTCAACCGCATCTGCCCTGGTTTGTGCAGGGGGTGTGGTTTATGGTGGGCCGTGAGCTCCGTGGAAGATCAAACCCCAGGCATCTACTGCGTTGGGTCTTTCACGCCAAGGCGTTTGTTTGAGAGTTTCTTCGAACTCGTGTTCAGCTCTCCCGAGTTTCAGCGTCACCTGAAACGTTGCCGATTATCTTTCTCTCTCAAGGCAACGCCCAGTGGTGTTGTTGATGGACGTGTTAAGTTGTCGTTGTTGTCGTTGTTGTCGTTGGTTGTGCTTGTGCACCACCGGCAGTGCGAGAACGACAGCGGCGTCGCCAGGTGATTCTCTCGGTGATGCGGCGCGACCCGAGGGTTGGGTCCCTGTGGCTCACGGGGGGGTCGGACACGCAGTGAGGCAGCCACCGCTCGGAGCCTGGCTTCGAAATCCGAGCTCGGCCACCAAAACGACGGCGACTGAACCGGGTCCTCGGGCGCAGCCGGTCGATCGTCTCGGCCCGGTCACCGATGGCTGAAAGAAAACGGTTCCAAATTCTAGGATTTACTACATTCCACAATTTGCCCCGAATTTTCGTTCAATATTTCACCTGGGAATTCGCTCGAGGTGGAACGTCTCAGTTGCGAGGGTGCCCATTGTGTTGATTTTACACACGCATAGCAAAGACAAAGATCCCGCGTATTGCCCGAGCAGACCATTGGGGCAAGTGCTGTTAGCGAGCCCCTCTGAAGGCCGGCACGGCACACGAGGGGGTGGGTGGCCAGCGCCACGCCCGGCCGCCTTTGTCTCCCGAACGGCGACGCTCACACGTCGCACCGGGTACTCATTTGAGGCCGAGTCGACCTAGGGGGAGGCCCGTGACGATTCCAACAATCGTCACCGACGTTGGCCGTGGGTTGTACTCGGGCCGCCGGGTTTGTGTTGCAGTGCGCTAACCACCCCCCCACTCACACAGAGAGACACGTAGCAAACAAGTAATGACGTTCGTACGGATGGTTTAAAGCCATCAAATTGTCCAGTGAATCTCGCAGCCGGTCAACACGTATCGTCCTGTGAGACGTGGTGGTGGCTTTCTGGGGGTGGCCTTCGTCCAGCAGTGGATTGATCACGGCTGATGAAGGCTGAAGCCGTCCGACCACAGCACCATACGGGCGGATGTATGGTGGTGAATATGAAAAAACTGTTTTCATTTAGAAAATCTCCAGTTATTTATTACGTAATATAAAAACAAATGTTTGCCTTTCTGGCGGAGTGGGGGTAGGTTTTGACTTGTTTGCAATTCAGCCAGACGAAGTGTGGGTGGTGTGCGTGGGTGTCCTTGTTCGCCTGTGTGAGCGCACAATGAGTGTGTGTGTGTGTGCGCACAATGAGTGTGTGAGCGGTAGTGTAGCGGGTACCGCGTCGCGCTAGGAACCCGGCAATCCCGAGTTCGATCCCCGCTCACGGTCACCACCAGTGACGATTATTTGGACCGGTACTGGTGTGTAAACATCGCTGCGAGGGAGACAAAGGCGGCCGGGCGTGGTGCTGGGCACCCACCCCCTTGTGTGCCGTGCCAGACTTCATAGGTGCTGCTCGCTAACAGCACTTGCCCTAACAGTCTGTTAAGGCTGTACGGGGGATCTTTGTGTGTGTGTGTGTGTGTAGGGAGTGGTTGTGTAGTGGTTAGCGCACTCACTGGAATTGTTTAGCGCACACCTGCTGCGCTCACCAATTCCCTCCTCACGATTAAAATCGGTGGCGAATATTTGAACCGGTCCTGGGCCTCCACTAGGTCAACTCAGCATGATGCCGGTGTGTAAAACATCCCCACTGGGGAGATAACGGGGGCCGGGCAGGCGTGGTGGGGCTGGCCACCACGCCCTCTCGTATGCCAGGTCAGCCTTGAAAGGTGCTTGCTGACAGAACTTGCGCCGGGCAGCCTGTTGAAGTATATATTCTTGGTTCTTTCGGTAAAGTCACGTGGATTGAAAACTTTACCGAATTAACCAAGAATATGAATGACTGCAGTCACGAAAGTTTTAAGTCAAGAGCCTGTCGAAGGCTATACGGGGAGTGTGTGAGAAATCTTGGTATGTGTGTGCACGTGCACAATTGCCAACGATTCGAATGTCGTTTCAGATGAATTCCGAATACAGGACGGTGACGTCACCCACACGACATCACCTTCCACACTTGCTTCCGTCAGGCGTGGAGTCACTTGAGATCGGCTGACGTCGTTATTGTCAGCATGCCCAATGGGTGGACTCACCCCCTGCCATAGGAATGAGGAATTTCCACCGCAGACTCAAGGCCGTAGATGGGAGAGAAGCAACCACCGCTCATTTGAGCGTAAAATCGCGTCGACTTTTTCGCAACTATCCGCCC